AAGAGTTATAGAAAACTTCTGAAGACTCATCTTTCACCAACCATTCTCCGTGGACTACATTTAACTTACGCATCATCTGCAAAAATAAAATTAGAGAATATTAGCAAAGATAGAACATCAAGGTAAAAAATTAAAATTAACCCATAGAAGACTTCCTTAGAAGTCTTGTACCATTAGCTAGAAACATTTAAAAACATGAATATTAATAGCCTCATAATTATCATCAATTAAGCTATGAATTTCATTCAGAACTCCATGTATTGTCTAAAACACATGAATTAACAATAAAATCTTAAGAATTCATTTTAAATTTGAAGAAAATGAAAGTTTATTATGCATTGTCGTAGAAGACTTCCAGGTAAGTCTTTCGTTTAGGTCATTTTTGCAATTGAAAATTTGCAAAGGAAGACTTTCAAAGAAGTCTCCTTTATAGGAGATTTCTCTGGAAGTCTTCATTTGTAAATATTGGCTTACTGAATCTTGGAATAAAAATCTGGAAGACTTCTAGGTAAGTCTTCTGGCAGAAGTCTCCCAATTTAAATTAATTTTTTTAAGCTTAAATTTTCAATTGCAAAAGTAACCTACGCAGACTTCAGTAGACTTAATGTAAAGGTTGAGAAGACTTCCAGGTAAGACTTACCTGGAAGTCTTCCGTAGAAAGTCAAATTTCTGACACAGATTGGTCAACTGCAAAACTAACATGTTTATCCAAGAAGACTTCCAAGTAAGTCTTCTCAAAAAAAATTTTGCCAACAAAGAAAACTCGAAAACTTCCATGTCAGTTTTCTCTAAGAAACACACAGAAAGTCAGTTGCAAAACTAACCTTCTAGAGTGAGAAGACTTACGAAGACTTACACTTAAGTCTTATAGCGAAACAATCTGGGAAAAAGATCAATTCATACCTTCAACGACCACTGAGAGATCGTGCTTAGTTCTCCAAGCACACACAACTTCACCTGAACATCTACTCAATCGTTAATGACCAGAAATCATGAGCTTGAATGGCTATATGACCCTTCAAAACCTTAAAATCAAACTGCTTGGATTTTTTGAATGAATATAAATAGAAAGTGAGAGAGATGTTGTTTTTAGGCATAAGATATAAGAATGAATGAGTAAATTTCGTTTTTAGATGCATTAAGAGCTCTATTTTGGTTGTTCATGGTTGTTGGGTGAATTGATGGAAATAGCAATTTGTGATTAATCGATGAAGATGAGGATGAGAGAGTAAAACAAACATTTTCGAAAAAAATAAAAATAAAAAGTAATGGTATTTTCGTGAATAATCAGAACTTATGAGGTGAATTGGACAAATGAAATGTCAAAAAAAGTTAGTTTTGTCTTTGACTTGGAGTTTTGAGTCATTTTTGAAAAAAACCCAAAAAAACATTTTTCTGTTTTGGAAGTTATGATATTTCTATTTTCACGTGTTAAAAGAAAACAAAAACTAATAGGGGAAATTTGAGAAAATGCACTGAAATGAGATTATAATTTGAATACTACACCATTATTTAAGTTTTTGGAAAAATATACTTATGTATATGTAAATTTACTTAATTGTCCAATCTTATTTATTCATGAATTCTTAATATAATTATTTTAAATGTTTAAAAAAAATTGTTAGAGAAACAATGTAATATCTTTTCAAATATTTGTTAGAAAATCTACACAATATTTTCTCTTATTGTGTATGGAAATAATATAGAGAATAATATATAAAAGATGTCGATGTAGAAATTAAACCTTAACCATATTATATTCAAAATCAAAAAAATTATAACAAATGTTAAGAGTCATTAAGAACTTATTTGGTAGATATATTGACTTCTAGAATGAATGAATATTTTTGTAGAGAATACGTGAACTTGTTTATATAAGATTAAAAAAATAAAACAAAATTCATATAAATTTTATGATAAAGTTAAAACAAATCACGATTTGTTTTATTTATAAATATATTTGTTATTTTTAAATTATTATTGGTAAAGATCATATTTATCTCAACATACATATTTATCTTAAATATTAATAATTCCCTATATTATTATTAATTTCGAATTATATTTTAGTTATTGAAATATCCAATTTGGATAAAAATATAAATTCACATTGAATAAGGTGTAGGTTTCAAAAAATAAAATAGAAGAGTTAATTTTCAAATATCAAACTGATAATAAGATAATTTACCAATTATCCCTAAATAATACTTGAAATAATACTAATATCCCCTATACATTATTTGTGAAGTGATTTTGCCACATGTCCTCTCTAGAATCAGTTTCACAAAAAAATGGTGACATGTCTAATAGAATTGATGACATGGCATATGATTAAATATGACATGGATAATTGCATTTAATGTTAATATATATTTTTGGAAATCTTTATAGAATATGGTAACAACTCATGTATTACAATTAATATCAATTTATATTTTTTTAAATATTTTTAAAATATGGTAATAACTCATAAATCATCATTAAAATAAATATATACCAATATGGCATTAAAAATTTCGAAAATATCATTTAATTATATATTTTAAAACTATACAATTTTATTACAAAAATTCAAAAATGTATACATTTTTAGAAAATTATTAAAACTTAATAATAAAATTATTAATTTCTTATATATTTAAAATTTTAATAAATATTGTCTAAGTTTAATTTTTTTATAAATATAAATTTTTTTACAAATTTATTTAATATATTTAAGTGATTTTGCCACATGTATTCTCTAGTACCAGTTTCACAAAAAAATGGTGACATGTCTATTAGAATTGATGACATGACATATGATATAATATGATATGGACAATTGCATTTAATGTTAATATATATTTTTGGAAAACCTTATAGGATATGGTAACAATTCATATATTACAATTAATGTCGATTTATAATTTTGGAAATATTTTTAAAAATATGTTAATAACTCATAAATCATCATTAAAATAAATATATACCAACATGGCATTAAAAATTTCGAAAAAATATCATTTGATTATATATTTTAAAACTATACAATTTTATTACAAAATTTCAAAAATATATACATTTTTAGAAAATTATTAAAATTTAATCGTAAAATTATTAATTTCTTATATATTTAAAATTTGATAAATATTGTCTAATTTTAATTTTTGATAATTATAAATTTTTTTACAAATTTATTTAATATATTTAATTAAAATAAATAGATACAAAATTATCTAAGATTATAATTTTAAACATATACATGAATATTCTTAAATATAATTTAAAATAAACAAAAATCTTTTTATATTACTTTTTATGTTTGATTAAACAAAATTTTGTATTGAAATAGTGATAAGAAAAAGAAAATTTATAATATTAATAAAATTTTAATTTTAAACATAGTTTATATTGTATCCATTAAAAAAATATTTTAAATTTTTTTACTGCACATGGTGCAGGAGAACACCTAGTTATCTTTATGTAAGAGAAAAAAATTACAAACTTTGATTTATGTTGTTGAACTATTTTAAATCTTATAACTCTTCTAAATATGTATGATGATATTTTTAATTATTAAACTATTTGAAGATAGAAAAAATTAATTTTAATATTTTTAATTATTATTCGTAAATTAGAAAACTGTAAAATATATATTTATTCGTATTATATTATTACCAGTAAAATTGTGGGCAAACACCTAGTATGATTTATTAATGATGTTTTGAGGGAGATATCGTCTTATTCCCACAGACGAGGAGTCCTCTCGGCTGCGCTTTGGATGCGATGCAAGCTCGCTTGGAATCTATTGAAGATATTTTCGACTTTTTGACGGCCAGAAATGCAGAGGATATTCCCGATAGATGGCACTCGATCGAGATTTGGGATTCTAGATCTACCAGCCCGTTCCGCGGTGCGGAGGAGGATGCGAAGTTAGAGAGAAAAGCGGACATAAAAATTCGGAGTACTTCACTGATTTCAATCACTAGCTGCTTTGTATTTTTGATATTTTTACTGTATTATATATTTAAATCTTAATATCTATGTAAAAAATGTTATTTTGTAAGTACTATCTCGTAAAAGACAGACTTTAGACTCAGGAATCCTAAATCTCTGCTGGAAAATTAGAACAATTGAAGTGAATTGGTAGTTAAGTTTAAGAGTTTTTTTTTACGAGATAGTACTTGTTAATTGCTCGTAACCTTAATTTACCACAAATTAACAAGGATTTCCATTTTAATTCGTCGAAATAATTTATGAGAATTTTACAATTTTTGCCATGTTAATCCATCAAAAATATTACGAAGATTTAACATCAGCTCCTTGGTAAATTAAAATTTGTGTAAAATTTATGAACGGAGAACGACGATTTACATTTCGAAATATTTTTTTTTGGTCAAATTATTTCGAACTACTTTACAATGATCAATGTTTACGTACCTGGTAGGTAGTTAATTCGCGGTAACTCTCCATTGACAAATTAACCACGAAAATTAGCATACATACTTCTTCTTGTAGTGATCTGACCGAAAGGAGTGCTCCTTATAAAATAGCCAGGATTTGGAGACTTAATTAGATCCTTCAATAACATCTCAGATCTTTCAACTCCCTTCAATTTTCCATCTCAAACTCTATTTTGGATAAAAATCTTATCAGGAAATCTACTCATGGTTTAACTTTCTAAAATAATATTTGACTTGTTCAAAGTTTACTACCATTTAGAATTTTTAGATGTAAATAGAACTTTTCAATGTGCTTTTTTTTTAAAGCTTTATAGAACATTTCAATGTGTTTTTTTAATTTTTTTTTTTTGAAAGCTTGAACATTTCAATGTTCTAACTACATTCCACAAAGATTACAGAAAAAAAAAAAAAAAAAGAGAGTTCCAATATCCTCAAATCTTCTTCAAATCTCTCCACTTCTCCCGGAACAAAGCAAAGCTTTCCTCTCATTTTGGGCATCTTTTTGTTTTCTTCTTGTAAAAAGAACGACCCATACTTGCATGCTCTTAACACTCTGAAATGCGACCATCACATCGCCTCTTCTCTCGTCTTCTTCTTTCTCCGGTGAAGGGTTACAGCAGAGCGACAAATGTAGGTGGATCGCTTCACTCATTGCTACAACTCAACGAGAAAAACGATGGGTTTGAAGAGACTCATCGGAGGAGTTTCAGCGCTCTTATCCGTTCCTGTCCGCAGTTAAGAGGGTTTCTATCTAGTCGAGGTCTAGGTGTACGATGCTCTGTTTCGCTCGATCCACATACTTCTCTCCGGAGTATGTCTTTTTCTTCTTCCTTGGCGTAAAGTGTTTTTTTTTTTTCGTTTTTATTGGTTTACTGAGTGATTAGAGTTAGTGTTGGTATAACAGATTTGTTCACGCGGGCTAAACAAGTCAAACGAATTGAGATCAATGATCAACATAGGTACTGCTTTCTTGTAATGTTAGCATGTAGTGGTCATGCTTTGTGAGTAGTATGTGGTCATTATTATATGCAAGTTTTGGATTAAGTATTCTTGTTTGGATCAACATAGATAATGTGACTAGTATCAAGTGTGGTCTTATGGTGCTGTTGTTTGGTGGCATGTCATGAGCTTAGAGAATTACGAGGAGAGCTTTCTAGCTAAATATATTTTATATGGTTCTATTCCTGAGTTTTATTTTCTTGAACATCCATCTTGCAGTCAAAGAGCTGTCACTACTGCACTGTGGTGCAATTTCCTTGTGTTTTCTCTCAAATTTGGGGTTTGGTGGACAAGTTCTAGCCATGTCATTATGGCTGAAGTTGTTCACTCCTTCGCTGATTTTGCTAACCAGGTTTAGCTTTCTTTTTTGCTTCTTTTTTTGTGTGTCCAGTTTAGTGTATTGATTACCTTTGAATGTTATAGGCACTTCTTGCTTATGGGCTCAGTAGCTCAAGGCGTGCACCAGATGCACTTCATCCGTGAGACTTCTTTGATCTTATATATACTCTTAATTATGTTAGTGGAATATAAGAGCTTTCTTTTGTTTGAAAAATGCTTAGACCAAAATAATGTTGTTTCTTGCCTCAGCTATGGCTACTCAAAGGAAAGGTTTGTATGGTCTTTGATATCTGCTGTTGGCATCTTTTGCCTGGGGTCTGGTGCTACCATAGTTAATGGAGTACAGAACTTGTGGACTTCTGAGGTAATTGGCTTGGACATTATCTGCTATTTGATCTTTGGGTTATTAGATAATTTTTGTATGTTTCGTTGGTTGTCTATGCTTGATGTTCATCAATTTTGATAATATTTCTCAGCCACCTCCAAATATGGAATATGCTGCTGTGGTAATTGGTGGCTCTTTTTTAATTGAAGGTGATAGCTTTTTCTTAATCTTGCTATGCTTCAAGCTTACATTCTCAGGGTTAATAATCTTTTG